AAAAGTTTGTCAATATTTCATCACTTATTGACGACACATTTCCGTTAAAACATATTACACCGATGTGTAGAACTCACAATAAAAGCAAGCGAACACACGATAAACTGCGAAACTCTAGCTACTTTGGAGAGTTTTCCTGAAGGAGAAGCTCGCACTTCGAGTGCAATGTTCTCGCTTGCATCATCATGCATTTACTTATGGCGTATTCGTTCGGGCGTTCACGAGTGCTCTAGAGCACTGTGAAAAGTGGCGGCGATTTCGATTGGTAGAATACGAGCGCCCGGACTACCCTCAGTTGGTTCTTTCAGAGCGTCAGCCGCCGACTCAGAGCGCTCTCGGCCGCTTCGACTTCGAAGTGGGAGCGTGGCGCGATCTGACCGGGAAGACGGATCACATGACACATTCCGGCAAATTACGAGCCGCCGGCAGGTGGACCAGGTGAACAGCGCCAACAGGGCGAGCACGCCTTTCGCAAGGGACATCGCCGGGTGCGTAATGCGTCGTGCACGTGCGCTGTTAGAGGCGTTGCTGAGCGTGTGTGTGGCGAAGTTCGCATCTACGAAGCTATAAATGCATCATGTCAAAATAGAGGCCACTAGCGAAAGCGGAGGCAACGTCAATGCCGTCATCACAGCAGCTCGCACACAGCCACGTGATTTGCCTTGAAAAACAGTGCTCGGACGATGTCGATCGCCACATTTGTGCGCTGAGCTCAGAAGGCTGTCGCTGCGTTACAGTGACTATAGCTGCGTCCAGACATGTCGGAGATGTCCACTCTGAACTGATTAGCGTCATTAGTAAAAGCGGCTCAAGAACGTTCACCCGCCAGTTTCCAGAGCTGGCTGCATGGTAACACCATAGGCGCGCTGCTCTGAGATCGCCGACGTATTCGGTTGGTTCGCTGTCTCTCGCACTCTGATTGCGAGCTCTCTCGTCATCTGGCGATTCCGAGCCAGAGGACTGGAGCGGCGAACAGGAATTCACAATTATTGTTGTCGAGAGCCAAGCAAGTGTCTCGCACAGCGTTGATCGTTCAACTCCTCCAAATAGTCGCTTATTCTTCTTTTTTTAAACACTTTATGAACATATTCCTTCCGAAGTACTTTGTTACGACTATCTGCGCCATGATATCAGGGCAAATTCAGATACGACGTGACCCGAAACAAGTGAAAACCTGCTCAAGCATATCTGCTCACAGAGAGGTAGAGTTGTCTCCTATAAGTCTCTTGAACTCTGGCATCCTTCTAAGTTCGCCAGCATACTGCTTTCGAAGTAATATCCCTAGTTCATAATTTGACTTTCTCCATTTTGCTCGTTCATTTATATAACGTAAATTGAGATTTCGCATTGCATTCTTGACTTTTGCCGCACTCTCGAAACAGATGCACCGCTACCTATTCGCTGGCCGACAACGATAATTATATTCTTCTCCAGTTCCCAAAGCATAATTTTCTATCTTGGTAAGAACAAAAAACAACAAGTCACGTCTCCTACCTCAAGATAGAACTGTTGCTCTAAATTCCATAGCTGACGCAGTCTGCTCATTTTTTATGTGGACATCAGAATCAACATACGTGCTATTCCAAAAGCAAAAATAATCGATAAGAATAGAATATACAGCTTACCTTTCTCCATCTGGTGAAAACTTATGCCGACCTGAAAGATGGCGAGAAAGAACAGGTCATAAGTAGTCTAACAGACACACCGTGGGACAGGACAGCGAAAGTTTTTTATCAGGAAAGAATCGTTCAACAAGCAAAAACAAACAAACAAATAACCAAACAAACTAATGGTGACGGTCATGCATTCATGCGAAATGCGTTTCCCTTGCGCACGCTTTTCATCACACTGTAAAGAAAAGTTGAACGAAAAAAAAAAGAAATATGGTGAAACTAAGACGTGGTACGTTTGCAAGTAATAATCATGCGTCTAAACAGTAATTCATTCATTCATAAAAGGTTCTCGCCACATGCACAATCAACGAAACACACGAAGTTGTTCGCGGCCATTGATGTGACCATGCTTTACTCACCGCTTTCACGTATAATCGTACACGTTTCAAATGAAATACCCTCAAATGCAAGAAGACGGAACAGTGCAGTTTCTTGGAGCGTGAGGTATGTGTGCAGCCCAGTGAGTGGCGTGAGTTTGAGATTGTTTGTTTACGTAGTGTTGTGTCTGCTGTAGTTGCAATTTACACACGAGAAAACTTTTAACTGTCTCGTCATTGAGTACAACGTAGATTAGAAGAATACCTGAAAGAAACCTGCTCTGCTGCAGAAAACATTAGCTTGGCAAAGAAAAGAAAAAAACATTGCTACAAACCAGAACGTTCTTTCGGCGTCAACGCCGAGTTGTACATCTCGGTATATATCGATGATTTCTCAATGTGTTTCTTTGTTTATTTTGTTTACCTTGTTTGTATAAATTGTTCCACAATAGTAGAGGCTAAGAAAAAAAACTGCTCCAGGCAGCTTGAAAAGTTCTGACCCCCACTCTCTACCGTGGCAGCAGGTTGCGGAGGTAGCTCAACTATCGTGCTTGGGTTAACGTTCAGGATTACACCGACAATGAGTAACAATGGCACAATACAAAAACATAAGCAAGAAAAAATACAATATAATGTCCAGTACATAAATATAGGCGCACGTGAGGAAGCCATCTCTTTCGGACAAAGCAAACTGATTGCAATGCTTAAGCACACTCTTCACAAAGGCAGTGGTAACTTCAAGCAAAAGAAGAAATAAACATAAAAAACTAGAATAATGACTGAATAAGTGAAACTAGTTGAGACCGCATTATGTTTGATGTAATAAAACCAGCATTTTTGAGTGAATTTAGCAATGTGAGTAATTTTCTGTTTAACACTTGCATACCATAATTGTTCAGGATTGGGGTATAGACCACACATCACTGTAACGAGTGGTGTAGGTAGCTGTGTTTTTATGTAGACAGGCTATTTCGTTAATACGCTATTTTCTGAATTTATATTCTAGTGACAAACACGAAGTAGGATACGATTGTAGGAAGAAAAGATAGTGGGGACGTTAGTATGTTACGTTTGCTATTTACGTATTGTTTTTTGTTGTAATAACTGTATTTTAATAGGGTTGGATTCAGTTGTAGTTCCTCACACGAGGAGCGCGTAATTGATGGGTGTTACAAATAGCGAGTAATAGATTAGTAGTTTTATAGATGTTTGTAGACTATATCTATTGCCCTTAAGCATTCCTGTGATACGGCGAAGCTTTGTCATAACAAAGTGCACGTGTTGGTCCCAGTGTAATGTGGTGCATAAATATGTTCTCAGTACTTTAATTTCATTAACTATTTCTATGTTTCTGTTGTTCAACATCAAGTTGAGATTGGTTGGAATGATTGTTTCATTGGCGTGAAAAATTAACGCTTTCGTTTCATCGCAATCTATTTTCATGTGGTTTTTGGTTGAATATTTTGACATGTTCCGGAGAAACTCATTGGCGTTCTTCATTAGTGTGGTGTAACATGAAGTTCTAATGAACGCGCTCATGTCGCCTGCATATACGATATACTCACCATTATTTTACATTAAGACAATGTCCTCTATACATAAATTAAAGAGCAGGGGACTTAGGATACTACCTTGAGGAATATCCGTTTTTATATTCCTAGTTGATGATTTAAAATGAATTAATTTGTACATAATGCCTTCTTTGAAGTAAATATGACCTAATGAACTGTAATGGGATGCCCCTGACGCCATAGGTCTAGAGATTTGGTATAATATATTATGGTTGATATGATCAAACGCTTTAGTGTAATCGACAAATATACCTATTGTTAACATCTTCTTTTTAATATTGGTCAGTATATGATCTTTCTGATCTAAAAATGCTAATTGCATGAACTTGTTTTTTTTTTGGGGGGGGGGGGGGGGAATCCGTACTGAGCTTTCGTGATAATGTGGTGCTTTTCACAAAAAGGCGACATTTGAGCTAAAATGATTTTTTTTCGAGACCTTTAGAAAAATGAGCCGAAATTGTTCGGCGGTAGTTTTGGATGTTCAGCCTATCAGCATTTTATATATTGGTATAAATTTGGCAGTCTTCATTTTCGTTGGCAAGATACTTGTAGTTAAAACTGTGTTATATATGTGTACTACAACAGACGATGATGATGATAGTTTTGGGTTACTAAAGAGACATCACGTTCAGCTAGAACATCTTAGCTGTTAAAGAAAACCTGCGAAATAAATAATTGTACGCTCACGCTGATGACTCCAAAATGTCACACGGTCCATTCGCAACTTAATTCCCCATTGAGCAAGCGCGATTATGAACAAAACTCGCTGCGGTGTATATAGTTGATCTGGTGAACATGTTGCGTCCTACAAATTGCTTTGTTGCCCCGTTCAGAACGGGCAAAGTTCGGGATGAGTATAGTTTTTGGCTTTTGATGTTGTGCACCCTCCTCCTCCTCACAAGAAAATAATGCAGTGCCACCTCAATATTTCTTCCTAAATTCTTACCGGGGCTGCTGCCTGTTTTTTCTTCTTTTGCAGTCAGTTGTCCTTCTTTGTCTAACTTATTTTTTCAGTTGCTCTTGCACAGAGTAAAGTAACAGTTACGTCTGTGCTCAGGCAAACTGGTGCCGAAAACGAAGATTACGAAGAGGTGAGCTTGAGTGATTTTCACCGTGTATTAATGCATGACAGTGCTTATTATTCGTTTAAAGCGCGTGCTGACAGATAAGAAAGCCCTCGGGACACGATTGGTGGGGAGTGAGCAAAATGCACTGAAGCATGTTATTCTACGCACCATCGGTGTCTGCACAGCCACCAAACACTTCAAAACACCTGTTTTTTCTGTGAATATCTTTTGGTAAAATGTCCGAGGGCATCTGTTTTTTTTTTAAGACAGGTTTAAGAACCCCAAAAATCGTGAACCCTAAGGTCACATGCTCGTCGAAATTCGGACGCAGCGATATCGAGTTCACGTATATCAAAAAGATACACGCAACAGATAATATACATTAACTTTCTTTATTTATAGCCGAACAAAGATTATCAAAGTGTTCCTACGTATGCTACAGCCACACATTCTTCGCCTGCCAAATACAAAACACTCAGTAGGGCAAAAACAACAATTCGCGTCTGCCAAAACTCAAATGACGAGAGCCGTGATATTAACATTGAGGACATGGTATTTCGCAATGAACTGCAGAGAAAAGCCTTCAACAATCTCATCATATCAGGTGTACTGTATTACAGGCTTCACTGCGGCACTTACGACCACCCATTACGAGATAACAGTTCGATCTTCTCACGCAGGCTCGATGCAATCGCTCAGTAAAACATGAAACAGCGTGTTTTCTATATACATGCGCAATTCGTCTGAGATAAGCCCAAGCTCGGACACAAACAACTCGGTGTATCGACACGCCGTTCCTTTGTGACACATATCTAGTTTTTTTTAACACAGTTATGGCGAAAACAACAGTTGGGAACAGTATCCAGGCTAAAGCTCACGAAGTGCCTCCAACAATCCACACCAACTAGCCAACTAGTTGGCTTGGATTCACACCAACCAGCTCGCCAACGCATTTTGTTTCCCCCAACAAGGAGGCCCTGCAATGGAATGTATGTTTCAAGAAGCTAAATGAAAATTGCCCCAACTTGATGGTGAAAATGTGGCAGCTCTGAAATGCAGTCACAACACCAGTGTATCCACGTATCACGTGTGAAATAGGTTTTCACGACTGTGCCAGCCATTAGGTATCAGTCATGTCTGCAGTCATCAAGCCATTGATTACGAAGTCAATTTTGAATGCCACCTAGTTTTATTAAAGGCGGTGGCAAACACTTCAATGAAATAAATGCGAAGTGTTCGCAAAAAAAACAGTAAAACGAAGTGTTTTTGTGGTTTCGCAAACAAACCAACGCTCAGAGGGGGCAATTCAACACTGACGCTCAATGGCAGTCACACTTCTCAACTTTGCGTGTCACACAACAGCGTCAAAACTTCGCTTGTAACAGGAGTAAACAATAACGAGCCAACATCTTATTTCAGCTCGCATAAATTTGTCGGAAGAAAAGCGTGGAGGCTCAGCTTAATCCAAGGCATAGATGTGCGGCGAAAAGCGACGCTTAGGAAATCTGGCATCTCAGCAGCGCAGTTCAGGGTTCTCAGAAATGACGCCAAAAAAAAAATGAAATTTCAGGCGTTCAGTGTTTTATTTTAACCTTTCGGTTTACCAATATATATATTGCATGCAGGAAACGCACTGTATGACAGCGTACATTCAGAAAGATCCCTAGACACGCCGAGAAGAGAGGAAGTCCTGCACTTCATGGCAGTTTACACGAAAATATCAGTACTTGACTGAAAGCATGATTCCAGATTTTCAAACCAAACGATTTGTTGTATTAAAATGCAACACACCTAACGCCTCTAATGACGTGGCAGATCCGACATGACCGAATGTGATCTACCAGGTACAATGTGTTATGTCCTAAGCATATGGATACAAACGAAAACACTTATAACGGGCAGACCTTTATAAAATAAAACTTTTTCAACTATTGGGCGAGCGGTGTAACAAACCTACAGTCAACTGAAATTAGTGATCTGTCTTTTTGAGCGTTTTGCCTACTAGTCTCTCGAGTTTACAAACATTCACGCGTTTATGTACTTTACCAGAACACAGATGTTAAGCCCGTTCAACATCTATGCAGAACATGACCTTGGATTGAATAAAAAAGACACAACGAAGCCTTGAAAGCACATGAAAGTCTCATTCTCATGCAAGAACAAAACCACTTATATGCGTTTTATTACAGGTTGGTCATGTGTTGCGGGTCATTCCTTCCACGGTGGACAGCAATGATTTTTCTACCTTTACTTACCAGCCACGATTTCTGATGTCCTTGTTACTCAAACTTTTTTTTTAAAAAAAGACCAGCTCAGAAACAGAATGATGCAATGACAATACACAAAAGCTGTTTCAACAACGCTACCATGTCCGTACGGCAAGCGTAATATCGGGCGAGCAATCTGCAGGCTGCGTGCGTCTTCTCTTTCTCATCTTTCCATGTCTGAACAGTTTGATAGGCGACTTGAACAAACGTCGTAAGTGGACCTAGAGACGGGAGCGCGGCTTGTTCCCGAATTCCGACATTTGGTGGACGCACACACTCACGATGTCTTGCAAAGTACCGGACCTCGTGCAACACGGCCGACTTCCACGGCCGCAGAGCGAATATTTTGTATTCACCAACTTGCACCGCGTGAAGCCTGAGGAAAACTGCGTCTTGAGGAGAGCGCGAGCGCTTGCAGTTCTTGAAACGCACGACTTGCGTGTCTTTGACTGTGCGGACTACGTGCTCCGTGTCGTCTCGCCGCCAGTCACACGGATGTACACGACAGTAATGCACTGTGGGGCGCGACCAACACACAAAGCTGGACGCATTAGTTAGAGAACAGAGCTCGCCACTGAAAGTTTCGCCATTGGCAGCATCGTCACACGTCTTCTTTCTACAAGTTGTTCCCCATGTGCACCTTGCAGTTGTCCACGTGTTGAAGGTGCTGCAGGTGCTGCAACTTCTTGCTATTTGACTTCGTGCCTGGAATACCAAAAATTACGGTCGTAAATTTAAGAAATTTCTTAATGTCAAACAGCTAGCGTTAAGGAATAATACAAACACTAATACTATGTAATATAAGTTTTCCTCATGTTCCTTCACGACACATGTCTATCTAAACCGATCATTGCATGAACTGTTGCTATGTATACTATGACAGTTTTTTTTCTTTTTTGAAATCTGAATCGTTTTTTTATTTTCATTTGCTTCTCTACGTCCAATTACCTGTTCTTCATTCGAAATACCACTAAAGATGCATAAAGACTAGAATAACACACAGGCTTTGTGATACAAACGGTAGCACGGCGGGCTTGTTGGTTATTGATGTTTTTCGAGGTATAGCGCATCCAGGACGGGACAGAGAAGAAGACACGGAACACATACACGGCGGAGCACATACATAGCGCCATGTATGCATTCTGTGTCTTCTTCTCTGTCCCGTGCTGGATGCGCTATACCTTGTGATACAAATTATGAACTCGAATATTCTTCTCGGCGAAATTGTGGAAGTCAGAAGTCACAAACATGTCTAGCAATAACTTCAACGTTCGAGCGGTGCCTGCGCGTCCCATCATTTTATTCATAAAAAATATTTCTGTCAAACAAGAACAATTTATTGATCGAAAGCAGGTTAATTAGCGCTTCTTAAACTCGCAATCCAAAATAACAAATAAATCACACTTTTTCTTTTACTGCTCGTCTATGCATAACCAGATTCGTGAATGAATCTCCGTTATGATGGCTGCGAGCGTTTCTTGCAAATCAGTTTTCAGACCTCTCTTGTTTATCTTGTAGAAATCATTGGCTGTCCAAACTTGAACACCGTAATTAATTAACAATAAATATTACTTCTTTGTAAAAATTTATTTCACAACGAAGTGGTCTTTCATGTCCAACTTCATTCTAGCATTTTTTCATACCACCAAATACAGCAAAATTATTGGAATGCTAGTATTTTAACCGTGTAGCTTTATACCTTCTCAGCCCTCTATTTTATGCCTATATGACGACGGTAAATAAGCACAGCAATGCCTAACCACCCAAATGGGTACTCAAAGGAAGAACTACTGCGGGGAATCGAAAATTTGATTTTGTATATGTGAGCTGTAGTGCGGCAAATGCGATCTCGAGCTACTTCATATTCAGAAAGCTGCAAGCAGCGGAGCCAAACATCACACCATATTATGAGCATATACAAGGAACAACTCTCACAAAATAAATGTTACAAAGCAAACTAAATAAGGCAAGGCATAATAAAGAAAGCTGTATAAAATATAGAAACAAAAAATTTAAAAAAGAATACTCACCTTCAATTTTGATGAACGGAAACATAACACGTGCACAAAAGGTGTCATCCGTGAAACTTGGGCTGAATAAACATGCTTGAAAAACAAAAGATCTCCTCGTTTTATCATTAAAAAGAATGGCACACGAAAAAACGGTGCATGCTATCGGAAGAAATGAAACTAAAATGATAGAAACGCAGAGCCCACGTGCAGCGAGGAACAGTCATTATGTACGAACGGTGCAAACGTACAAAACAAAAAAATATGGACGTGCAATAGTTAAATAGTGAACGCGCATGACACACGGTGCAAGAAGCAACTAGAAATCGTTACATAAAACTTGCGAAGTAAGTATTTGTACGCTCACGCTGATGACTCCAAAATGTCACATTGTCAATTCGCAACTTAATTCCCCATTGAGCAAGCGAGATTCTGGACAAAACTCGCTGCGGTGTATATAGTTGAACTGGTGAACATGTTGCGTCGTACAAATTGCTTTATTGCCCCGTTCAGAACGGGGCAATAAAGCAATTTCTACGACGCTCTGAAAAAGCATGTCCACGCAGTCCACGCTTGCGAACATGGTATGGGTGCTTTCAACACAGTGGGTCGGGTTTGACGAGACAATAATATCATTGCTTTGATACATAGCTGAACGCGGTTATTAAACCGCGTAATGCCCCGTCAAACGTTTCTGCCGTCAGAAAAATTGCGAGGAAACGCCGACTGTTTCATTGCGATAGCAATTATATGGACAGTCTCGGCTGGTTTTTGCCATCGCCGCCACCACCACCGTCATTCCCGTATAAGTATATGTATACGGAGAAGGATGCGCTAGCCTTTTTTTTTTTTCTGCGGAGTGAACATCGCCTTTCGGCCGGGTTCGTCTGCGCGAGCGCTTATCTCGTGAGCCAACAAAGGGGGAGGAGGGGGCACCTATGCTTACCACGCTATCGCGGCAACGATCAGCGCGCGGCACTTGCCCCCACAGCAGGCGGAAGCTTTTACAGGGGCTGCGCTCTCAACAGGAAAAAAAAACGGTGCCGAAAATGTACCTGGAGCGGCCGTCCACCTATAGACGCGCTCTACACATAACTAAATGCCACCAGGAGCGACACACGACGTATAGCCCTTAGTACCAGCATATGCTGCCCGCGGGAGGCGCTTCTCATCAACGCCGTCACTACGCACGAGCCTTGTTGTGGTCAGCTACTGCGGCCACGCTGCAGGAAACTTGGTTACTTAGCAAGCGCGTGTTTGCTACAATTACCATTGCTCCTACAAATGCTAGCCTTGCTTCGTAAAACATTCGAATATGTTGCTATGGTTATGTATAAGTGAGAACGATGAACGTACGATAAATGTGCTTCCAATATATACATGCATATACATATACGTGAATGACGGCGGCACCAGCGGCGGGGGCGGTGACGACGACGGGAAAACCAGCCGAGACTGTCCATATAAGTGCTATCGCAATAATACTGTCGTTTTATACGATTGTCATACATTGAGTTTTTACTCTGACTTAATTGTTATTCGACTTTAGTATCCTCTTTATTATACATGGTAGTCTACGCTGCAATCAATTGTATACGCTTAAGATATATATATATATATATATATATATATATATATATATATATATATATATATATATATATCATAAGCGTATACAATTGAAGCAAGAACGAAAAACGTCTGTTCTTTCTTTTTCATCACTACAAGAGGGAATACCTTTACGATTTCGGGTCTTGCTTTTTTGTTTGTTTTCTGTGGCAGTTCCATCAGCCATGAGTGCGCTTCCAGCATATGCGTAACTATGAATTCGATTCACAGCGTAAGCCTCTCCGAGTTATGCACTAGGCGTCATTTGCAGAATTGCATTGCTGCATATCTTGAGCGCGTACTTTGATGCCAAAACATACAATCCGTGCTCGAAAATTGCATATTGAACGTTACGGCTATCTTTTTTTATTATCTGCGCAGCCAGCGCGCAAACGGAAGCGACACCCAGGATCGCCGTCGAGGATGATATTACCAGCTCCGTTTCCTACGCATGGGGAGATTTCGTTTTCACAGAGATTGCTCCGGCATACACGCGTGTCAGCGTAATACCACGACTAGCACACTCGGCGACGCGTCGGACTGGAACTTACATACTTGGATTGAACTCCTTGTAGATCGGCGTGGCGGTGACGGTATTAAAGTGAGTATTGCCGCGCAGCGACCCGTCACACTGCGACAGGAGTGTGCGCTAGCAATCACGTATGCGCATTTCATTCACTCTGCCGAGAATGCGCTACTGAGACGAAGAGCGGCAGCAGTAGGAGCAAGGAATAGCTTATTTTAAAAATGTCCCAGCGAACGTGCAAATATAGAAGTGGGTCTGACAAAAGAAAAATGGAGGCATGGCAATCGCGGCTCCTTAAAAATGTGCCCTCATGGTGCTCTGCAAACCCTCATTGGATATTCAAGTTATTTCTTATCGATAACGACTAAAGTCGTTTGTATCTATGGTATTGCTCCCTTGTAATAAACAAATTGTTTTCGAGGGTATTACGCACGAAGATCAAGATATGATAATGAGGCACACGACAGTGGAGAACTCCGGATTAGTTGCGGCCACGTGGCGTTCTTTAACATGCGCCTGACCCGCAGTCCTCGAATTTTTTAAACACGAAAGTGTTTTATTCCGTGGTACACGAAGGCTCCGCTGACGTACGTCTGTCACGGAAGTGACGTTGAAACATATATACGAATGAAAAATCAGAAGGCAAACTTCTGCTGTGCGGAAGTAGAACCAGAAACTTCCAGATTCTCAGCGCGCGACGCTAACTCCTACGCCACAATGCGTACGTTGTCTGGAGTGCTAACGGCAAACCATTTATATACACCATACACCGTTTGGCAGTCTTCCGAGCTTCGAAACTTCTGTCCGTTTTTGCTGTCAGTGGCGAGATGTAACCACGTCCTTGCGTTCTACGTGCTATCAAAGTCGCCACCTCCAAGAAGGGCCACCCCCACAGTCCCACGGAGCATAGTCTGACCTGCGCGCGCGCTTATCAGACTCGTAATTCTGGAGAGGATGAAGGTCACTTCGCAAGCGGCCACGGCCGCGTTTAGAAAAGGAGCGCGCTGCTGACACACGACGCAGAACGTGCGTACTTTCTCCTTGAGGTGCGTGCTGCAAGTTTTGAGCTACTTGCTGTTTGTAACGTGACTTTTGAAATTTGTCGCTATTGCTGAAACAATGCCTAATAAACGCTAAACTACATCTGTTAAGACACTGTTTCACATTCGTGTTACACCGATTTTATATAAGTAGATCAGCCACGTTTCTTTTTTTTACATTAGGCTCGTTTAGAAATGTGATTATCATCGTCAGTGTTCGAACTCACGCCACTGTGCTCAACAATGCAACGCCTTAGTCGTTAAGCCACGCGGCGGGCATGTTCCCTGCGCCTAAAGCCTGAAATGCTTTAAAAACCTCACGGGTCATCTGCTTCCTGTGACAAAGAGTTGACGCTAGTGTCACTGTAGACTGCTGTTGCCATGCAAGGTGACATTGGGAATTTGTTCGAGTAATTTATAGCATAGCAGCTGCCCTCTTCCTTCTATTTTGCTTTATGTTTTCACAACACTGCCTCCCGTGCAAATGCAAATCTCGTTTAAAATCAGCCTTCGAAAGTAGAG